TATACTCATTGTATAAATTACACATTCACCGCCCAAAAAAAGAAAATAGAAAAGAAGAGAAAGAGAGACATATAGAGACTCTTCTTCTCGGCTCGACTTGTGAAATCGCATCTCGTCATTGCTGGCGATGATGAGAACGGCGATGATGACGAGAACGATGACACGATGACAATAATGATAATGATGATGTTAAGGCGGACTGCCGTTTTCATATCGCGAGTCCTTCGAATATTTGGGCTTGTTTTAACATCACTTTTTGGAGCAACCGTTATCCTTCGTACTTGGCTTTATTTTAGCTCTGTTTTTGTCGTTTTCTGTTTTTTGAACACGGTCGAGCCTCGGGATTGATCGATTTGCATTTGAATTAATCTTCAACCCTTTATATTCGAAAACTACACTTTTTCAGATATTGCTGGAAATTAAATCTAATATGAATGTAAAGATATTGTTGATAAGTAGATTAGAATATAACGGGTTAATGATTGATGAAAACAGATGAATAGATTATTGATGTTTTGGATAAATGCAGGACGCAATCAAACACTTTCGAAGATGCGAAAAAACAGTATCTAAAAATAGTAATATAATAAATAGTAATAATAAGAATCACAAATCTCAATTTTGATGCAGATTCCAAGTTTGTGAGATCTTTATATAGCAAAAAGATGAGCTGACTTAAGATAAATAATTAAGATTAAAGCGTCTCAGGCAATAGAATTATTCTAAATTTTATGCGATTGAGTGTCAAGCACTCTAAACTGCAAAATATATCGATCGATATAACGTAGCCTTACTTTCGCATGGATTAAAAAAAAGCATTTATTTGTTGCAAGAATCCAAGACGTTAATAATTTATCTTAAAGATTGCACATACTTGAACGGATGTTTGTTGATGCCTTTCTTACATGGATCCCTCAGGCTCAACCTTTTAGACGAATGTATTTGGCTTCTACCTTGATTGCGTAACGCTATTTGCTTTGAGATCGGTTTCGTATTAAATCTTAGTTTTAGAAGTAAAGGTTGCTCATTGACGAATCATTGTTCGAGAATAATTGTCTGAATTTTCTGTGAGCAATGATTTTGAACTTCGACTAACAAAAATTCAAAAACTTTCAAAGAACATTCAAATACATTAAAGTTTGTTAGTACATGAATTCTTTCTATTCGGGAAGATTTCTTATCGAATTATTCTCGAGTGCGATTCGTTTTAACTCCTTGATCGTGGATCCATTTGTGTGGACGATTTATTAGCGATCTCGATGGATCCTCGAATGGGTATGGTCCAAGATGATCAACTTCTCGAAAAGAAAAAGACATTCCAAAAATCGAAACAATTAAAATCAAAATTATCAGATTTAAGTTGATAAAATCATTGGCTTTTTTTCTATCACTTTTTAAAATTGTATCTTTATTAATAAATATGGATAAAAATTTATATTAATAAATATGGATAAATATATCCAGTTGCAGTATAAGTATATTTTATCTTTTGTTTCTTATTTAAAAAATATTACCCTACAGAAATTTTCTTCCTTTTAACCTTTAAGTAAGTGGGGTGTTCAGAATATCCTCAAATAAATTTTATTTTATAATAATATTTTTTAACAGTATGTGTAGTTAAATTTATATTATTTTATTGTTATAAGATAGAGGAATGTAAAAATATAAAAATAATTAACTTTAAGACTTTTGGATTCTTTTTATTTTTCTTTTCCAGAGAACAAGATTTATAAGATAATTAACGTAGAGTGCTGTAGTAATCTACTCAAAGGTTAATATCTTCTCATTTTTATTTATATTTATGAAGAAGGACATTTTCAAAGATTTCATGTTTAGAAAATTTTTAAATACATGCCAAAATGATTAGGAAAGTCGCCTGTGTGAATATACAATTTCATAAGAAATAAATGCAAAGATTGAATAGATGTCTTTCAAGATAAGAGGAGTGGTTGGTCATCTTGTAAATGTTTTTATAAAAAAGCCCGTCTGCGCCCCGGCAGTTACGCCGGGCGAAATAGAGCTCAAGGAAGGCCCCGGGAGCGACAGGCGGGCGCGATATCTTCGGTTATTTCTTTTCACCATTATTTAGTGACTAACATTGTTTGAGCTTTGAATAGTATCTTGATCAAAACGGTGTATGTCATGTGTAAGATATACTTGGGTGTGGGAGTACCACTCTGGAGATCGGCGGCGCATTGGACGATCTCTTCGATGTGGCGAAAACATGTCTTTCATATTATCTTCGGGCACGTTACGGGAATGAAACTTATCTCAATGCTATTAATTCTGAAAGAAGTATTTCGAATTAATGACATCGAAGTGGTTATAACTAAAACAACTTATAACAATAGCTTGAACTGAAAGTGGCTTGCAAAGAATCGTCTGGAAATGAAATGTGAAGTGAAACGTGAATTGAACGATGCTCAAAACTACCATCTTAAACTGGTTTTCTTATACATTTTTTTCAATTATTCATTTTGTTATCACAAATATCACTTAGTTAAATACACATATTTTAATGAGTATCTCAAGCTCAAATTGCTGAATTGATTTTGGCTTTTAGCAATTTGTACTATTGTGCTGTAAATCTAGTATGGATTATATTCATCAAGAAATATCAAATCCCAAAAGAACGTGAATAATTAAAAAATTGAACATTTGCTGAAATCATTTCAAACAAGTAGCTGAAAAACAAAAATTTTAAAAATGTTATCGAATCTGTTCGGACCACTTTGATATTGAGATAATGCAGAAAAATGGAATTGATTTGAAATCACAACGAGGGAGAGGATCCAATCGCGCCCCTAATCTCGACGACGCGCTCTATGCGTGCTCGACGCGGACGAGATTTACGATCTGCTAAGATTATGTGCGGATTTCGTTCTTCGGTGTCGCGTCGAGACGCGGACGGGTTGCGCCGGCACTCGTCCTTTCTGGCAGTGTGGTACCACGTACCATGTTGGCTTAGATCGAACACACACACACATGCTATTCGCGACCTGCGAATTCAGGTAGAGCTGCATTACGTATTACCTTATGTTACAGCGTATCCGGTGGCGCCGCATCCACCGACTGGCTTTGTTCCCGCGCCGACGCAACCCCCGACTTATGGTGGTAAGATAGATTTTAAAAAATCTTATAATACAATTAAAAAATGCAAGTTTAAATAACAATTTAAACTCTCGCAATTATTACAATAATAAAAGATAAAGAAAATAGGCTAATGAAAGTGAAGCACTATATTATCGTTGTGCAATTTGTATGTGTATATCTTCAATTTATTTGGACGTTTCGATTCACGTTTATTGTTGAGGATGACTCAAACGTGAACCGAAACGTTCAAATAAATTGAAGATTTACACATAAAAATTACGCAACGATTACAACGCTTCACTCTCTAGCGCTTTTCTTCACATTTTATTATTGTAAAATTTTATAATCTCTTACAAATCTTACAATTAGCGTAATATTGTAATAAGTGCGGACAATCGCATCAATTCGCCGATTGTTTGGATTTTATCTTGTTTCTTTGCCGATTGTTCAAATACGCTACTTTATGTTGGCTGCATTCTGTAATCCCGTAAACACAATAGATATAGTAAGCCTTAAGCCTTAAGAAACTGAACAATCATAGTTGATTGTTCTTCTGACATTCGACTATGATTGCTCAATTTCTTAAGATTAAGATTTACTACACCTATCGGGTGCATCCAAATGCAACCGCTCACTGAGTACTTATTCTTTCATCTTTAGATTAATCTATATTTTAGGATTTAACAGAATATGCCAATATGAAAGAACTTCATGAATACTCAGTGGGCGATTGCGCATCTGGATGCATCCAAGCTGCGTTCAGCGGACTCAACAATCGAGAACACTCGCTGCTATTGATGTATTCTTCATTCAGATTTAAAATGTTGATTAGATGATCTAAAAGAATATACCAATAAGATCGAGCGCTCACTCAACTTGAATCCGCTGAACGCAGCCAATTGTTTGCCAATTGTTTGCGGGATGCATGTATCATTTTATCCCTAACTAGTTTAACATTTGGTGAATAATGAGAATATAAAATGATACATGCGCATCATACATTTTACGGAAAGTAACCGTTATTTTCGAAAAAAATGCAATATAATTATATAAGATATATTCGGGAAATAAGAACCGATATTAGCAATATATCCAAGTGATTATGAATGAGTTATCGAAACAAGCTTTTACATGTCTTTTGTTTACCTTTTTAGAATTGATAATATATATTTATACGAATGTAATGATTTCTTTCTTTTCGTTTTTTTTTTATTATCATTGATCTAGTCTAAATATATTTATCGAATTTTTATATTTTTTCATTTCACTTTTTTGGACTAATGTTACGTCTTTTCCATGGAATGAATATATGGACCCGTATTTAGAACACACTTATAATATGTTAGCGTATTTATAGTTTACATTATATTTAATACAGAATTTCAGAAATAAAAACATTTATTTATCGAAAAATGTATCCATTTATGGAAGGCGCGGGCCATGATCAAACTTTTGCTGGAACTTAAAGAGAGAAACAAAAAAGAATACGAGAGAAAATTAATCTGAAAATCTTTTGAAAAAAAATTCAGTCTTAGAAGATTGAAAGAGTATAAATTTTCTTTTAATTTCCTAGTTGATATCCTCGATAAATTTGAAATAGTTCTGAGAGAAGTCACTTTCACGCTGTTCAGAAATGGTAAATCCATTTCAAAACGAATTCTTATCTTTATTTTTAAATCTATCTTCCAAAAGTTGCAAATTCGAACTCAATTCAGACTTCAGTCCTTTTCGAAACTCATATATAACTATATAACTAATAGCAGTGATCCACTTCGTGCCCAACTCTGTACTTAATTTATCTAACGCTCAATTTATATTCCAAAACAATTAAAATCATTTCTGAGGCTGGAAAAAACTTTCTGTAACTCACAAAAATCATCTGACTGTTGCTTTACATTGATTTGACAATATATTAGGCTGTAATATCTAACATCAGTAAAGTAAAATTTTTTAATTTATTATCTTTTTTATTTGACTCATCAAAATGTATTTAAATCATTCTGTGACCGCATTTTGAGGTTTTTTTCAATCTTGTCATACTTACTTTTGCTCTTCCTTCAAATGTTTTTTTCAATTTGTATAGAATTTTATATTCTGCTATTTTTCTTGATTATTTAACAAATTAGACGTAATTTATAAATTCGAATTCAATGACTTCAAATTTATGAGAAACAGTTATTCTATAAGAAACAGTTACTCTGGTTTTAGTTGATTAAAAAAATGTATTTTTTTTTATGATGATTCTATGTTATCTTCCACTTATTTATCCTTTAATGCTCGTCTTTAATTAGTTTCTTTTATTTATACTTACTGTAAAAACAAGTTTTATCTTAAAATTATATTCTGAATTTTTCTTGATTTTTCTCATTCATCTTGAATAGTCGATAATGAACCACTTTTGTTTTCTTTAATTCATCGTTCATGTTTATTCTACAATGTGCTTTTTGTTTTCTTGGTTTTTCCGTTTAGCGGTCGACAATTTTATATCTCGCCATGTGTTTCTTGTTTTTTCCGAAGTTCGTTAACTTTTATCTCATGCAATAGAAAAATGATATAAAAAGAAAAAAAGCAGTAAAAAATAGCAAGAAACAAGATACAAAAAGCATATTGTAAAATAAACTTTATATCTTCCAATTATATCTGTTTTTTTTATTGCTGAAGTGATTGCAACGGTGCAAAGTTAAAATGAAATAAGCTATAGATCTGTTCCTTCTAGCTGTATGTCTTGCACAATTCTCTTCTCTTTTTCTGTCTAACAGAAAAAGAGGAAAGATGAATCGCAAGAAATTAAATTTAGCTATAAAGAGTAAAGCCTAATATTTGTTTTATTTCAACTTATTGTACCATATGCATCAGTTTAGAAAATTTTTCCATAAAAAACAGACTTATTAATACTGATATAATATCACTGATTACTGATATATCAGTGATTTCAATTTCCAACAATTTTCCTATAATTTGCGAAACTATAGTATATGAAAAAAAATCTCATATTGCGCAAACATCGCATCTTATTTAATCCGAAAATAGTCGTATTGCTTTTACATCCCAATTAAAAATTGCTATTATTATTATACAATATATTTTATAATTATACAATATATATAATTATATAATTATATATATAATTATATAATTATATAATTATACAATAATAATGTATTGCATATTAATGATTATTCTACACGATTTGTTTGCATTTAAAATCATTAGATTTACTCAAATTTTTTTTTAATAAGGAGAAAAAGAATTAATTATTAAAGATAAAACATAAAAATCGAGTTCTCGAGATGAAAACATATAATAGTTGAGAATGATTCACTTGCAATTATTCATTGCCAATCACAGCGACTTCTACTTTTTATTTTTTTTTTTTTTTTTTCTAGCACTTTGTGAGTGACTTGTGCGCAATTAACTCGTGTACAATTGATATACATTCATAATAATTAGTTAATTAATGGGCGAATGAGAGCAATAACAAGTCGCGATAATTTCAAATAGATATGAATTCTTTAATAAAGAAAACTATCATTAAGTTTTATTTTTTCGTTGGAATGTAAAATCATCTCAATTAACTATAATATTCCGGATTAAACATAAGATCCATAATCACATCTTATTCATATCCGATGAATTCATATGTATATATGAATTTTATGTTATAATTTTGATGAATTCATATGTATATATGAATTTTATGTTATAATTTTGATGAATTCATATGTATATATGAATTCATCAAAATTATAACAAATTTAACTGTAATCATTTTAACTGTAATATAACATGCGCATTTTAACTCCAACTAACGTTACACGTAATTTGGTGACAATAAACTATTATTCTATATATACTATGGTATATATAAAGGATTTTTCAATAAGGATGCTCGATTTTTAAATGTAAATAAAATAAGTTGTGTATGAGATATCCACTCAATTTTTTTTTTATTTGAAAGAATATTTTATGGCATTAAGTATGGAATATAACATCGCTCAAATGTCCGCCACGGTTTCGCTTGATAACATCTATTCCAATTTTCGATGACTTTCTCGCATAAATCTGGCTGAATTTGCTGGATGGCGTTTGTTATGTTGACTTTGAGAGCATCAACTGTTTGCGGTTTATTCGTATAGACCTGCGATTTAAGATAGCCCCAAAGAAGTCTAAAGACGTTAAATCGCACGATTTCGGTAGCCAGTTCACGTCGCCGCCGCGCGAGGTAACCATGCCTTCAAATCGTTCATGTTTTTGCAGAATGTCCATCGAGGCATGCGGTGTGTGGCACGTAGCGCCATCCTGTTGGAATCACATGTTATTGGTATCCATATCATCCATTTTAGGCCACAAGAAGTTGCTTATCATCGATCTGTAGCGCTCGCCGTTGACGATTATGGCAACGCCCGCTTCGTTTTGGAAGAAGTACGGACCGATGATTCCGCCAGATCAAAATCCGCCAAACAGTGACTTTCTCGGGATGCATTTGGAACTGGTGTATCTCGCGTAGATTGGTATCGTCCCAAATTCGATAATTTTGCTTGTTCACATATCCATTCATCCAAAAATGAACCTTATCGCTAAAAATGATTTGTTTGGCGAAATTGCGCGGAACATTTCTCGAACGGAGCACTGATTTTGATAATAAAATTTTATGATGCACACATTGCTCAACACTATGACCTTCCATGGTGATTTGCCAAATACTACTAAACAATTCACAACAAATTTGACAGATGTCACTTTAACAACATGGCTACTATGATCTAACAAATTTCTTCAA